CTCATCAAGCAACCTCTACCGCTTTTTTGGATAATGGCTTCAAGAAATTGCATGCAATGAATCTCTTCCAAAAGGCAAGATGTAAATGTGTTCAAATATATTCTAGGAAGAGATACCTCTGTGGGTCAATTTTCGTAAGCAATCACAGGGGCGGATCCAGGATTTTTTTTAGGAGGGGGTGCACTCGTCTCTTTCTCTACTTCAACACCAATAAACCACATAGTTTCTTTTTGCAGAATACCAGTTGTATTAAAAAACCGCAGGTCATCTCGGGGGGGGGGGGGGGGGGGGCGCACCCCCTGCACCCTCCCCCTAGATCCCCCCCTGAACCCCCCCCCGTAGGTGGGTCGACCACCAATTTTTCGCATTTTGGTGGGTCCCTTCTAGCCGGTAATTTCGTCTGAGGCTGGAAAAAAGCCCTGGGTGCGCACCCCCTGCACCCTCCCCCTAGATCCGCCCCTGAACCACCTCCCGTAAGTGAGTCGACCACTAATTCTTCGCATTTTGGGTGGTCGCTTATATACGTGAAGTTCGACTGTAGCTGGAAAAAAGCCCCTGTATAACTCGCAGGGTTACTTTGATACTATATAAAACTGAAATGAGAAGAACCATCCAAATCATTAGTACAGTTGAGGTTCAGACTGGACCGTCTATTCGCTATAATATTATTATGGAGGTGGCACAGTTTCGGTTCAATATTAAGCATGGCAAGTACTGGGCTAGCATCAACGTCAACTTATAATTAAGGTTAACTTTATAGTTATCTTTCTCTCTGGTACCGTTTTGTTTTATTCTTATTTATTTTTTTATTCTTCTAAATTTCATTTATTTTCCTTCTCTTTTTTCCTCTTGTTTTTCATGTGTCACAACCCTATAGAGAATACAATTTGATTATTGTAACTACTCAGCTTGCTTAGTTTTTGCTATTCTGGGTAGTTTTTGGCCTGATCTATAATACTTTAATTTATTCTGTTCTTGTAAACCGCTTTTTTTAACTTGGCAAATAAATGGTTGGATTTTGTTGTCAATTACATTAATTCCGTGGAGTTAAATTCATGATCAGACTAACATGATTTTTTTAAGTTCGTCATACATATGAAGTTTTTAAGAAAAAGTATAGGGTATTTTTCAGTTGTACCTTCACTGGCTACCCTTTTTGTGTAAGGTTTTTTAAACATTCAGGCGTTTTTAAACTGCATACTGGTGAAGGCAATATAGAAAAGAACTTAAGATTAAATTCATAAAACTTACAGAATCTATTTATATGATACAAGGGAGAAACCCGACCTCAATCGACGGCAGGTGAATAGATAAAACTGACTGTCCGCCCTGTAAGATCCTCTACGTCATGTATCATTTTAAACGTACGTAACTTCCGCAACATTGTGAACGAAATCCTGAAACAAAATTTTTACTCGTTACTCGACTCGCGCGCACTGATGATAACGGTGTACGTACCGTCGACACATGTCTGGAAAATAAGAGAAAAGGTGTTTTCATTCTCGAAATATCGCTGTTGCTGCTTTCTAGACCGGCGATAAAAGTAGCAACTGTTTTTTGTCTTCGTTTTGTTTTGTTTTGTTTTTGGTTCGTACATTAGTAATAATGAGAATGATAGCAGCGTATATATGAAAGGAAAGTATGTGAGCAAGGAAGTATTGAAGTAAGAGGGAAAAGTTTGAAATTTTGGGGGGCCGTGTAAAATGGAAGAAAATGCAGGTTAAAATAAAAATAGCATTTACGTACAAGTCAAAACACTTTTTTGTTTTAGTCTATAATTTGAAACAGGATAAGATAAATATAGAACTATTCAATACTCACTCGATCATCTTTAAATTAAACAATTTGAAAGTGAAATTCCAAAAGAATCTGACGGACCTTTCTTCCCTAGCCCTTCCTCGCTCTTTTGGTCGCGTCATTTTTCACCTGGTCTTTGACTCGCGATCCTTGTTTTTTGCTCCAAAAGTGCCGAAACCGCACGGAAACGCGGCTTGCTACGTAGGCTAGATGGACTTGGAAGGGTCTAGAAAGGCTATTATTCAGCCGTGTCTTCATTGTTTTGAAGCGATAACCGAAAGAAATCAGCAGTCAGTTGCTAACCTAAGATCATGCCCAATTTTAGCAGCTCTCATATATTCTCTGTACACCTTGGCCTGTATTTTGTTTACCAAGAAAAATAAAGATAGAGCGTCATCTCAGATAAAAAGCAGCCTGCCCGCAATTTTCAGTTTCGGAAAAAAACTTTTTTTCCGATCACTGACGAATCCAAGCAATATGTGTGAACTAAGACTAAACAGGGAAAATATATCTCCTCATTCAAATAATTCACGAGAGATTTTAGCTGTTTTCGTCTTTTTCAAATTGTGCTTCTTAGCTTTAATGTGAGAAATTTTACTATACTGATGCCAGTATCCACCGTTTCAAGGACATCATAACTAGTTTTTATCTCAATGTTTTGGATGAAAAATTGTTTCTCGAAAGCCCCTTTTTGGGAGATCAATTTAATAATGTTATTAAATCAGTTGTACTGGGAACTATGTACTCGAATGTTAACTTTTAACTCCCGGGTTAAAAAGGAATTTACACATCAAGGTCCTTCTGCAAATACATTTCTTGCGGTGTTTGCACGTAATTTTATAAACCTTACCCGAAAAAACAGAAATGCTAATCTCGATTCGCCGGCATAACTGAGTTGCGCACGAGGTCAAGAATTCGTCAGCTGTTCATTAATTTCCATTTACCCACACAGAGAAACAGGAAAAGTGATTAATATAAAGTCAGAGTTATTTTGACACTTGTAATTGCGTGAGGTGGGTAAACGCCAAATGTTTTCTGCCTAAACAAAAGAACAATATTTTAAGTATATACCTAGGCGGGCAGCTTTGACACAATAGCCATCGTTCTGCAACTCTGGCAGAACAATACTACCCAACAAGAGTAGCCGGTAAGGCAGACTGGAAAACAGCAGTGCATTCGAGTCCTTGCTGTACAAAGTCCCGGGCCGCTTAATTCTCAACTCAAGTATCACTAGAAGAGGTTTACTTCCCAACGGTAAGTGAGATTTTTTACTATTTTGACTTCTGAATAGATTTGACGAAGATTTTCTCTTTTAACAGAAAAAAACTGTTTTATTCCAGTTAGATGGGAGCATATTGATTTTACGGTGTTTTTGGTTTTTGCTGAGGTTGCGTGCTAGTTGGAATGAGTTCTTTGTAATGCATAGAGGAAATATTCTCTAGTGACGCTCAAAGAGAATTGTCTTATCTATTTAACAGATTAATTTGAACATTCAAGGAACAAAATAACGCCCTTTCTTACAACAGGCCACCGACATTTTCTTGTGATAGCAAACTGGAAACCGGCCATTTTTACGCAACCGGAAAGTGAAATTGTAGCTAGGAAACTGGCAAACCCGCGAGAATAATCATGGGAAAATTTAAAGCCTGATCTTACTGATCAATTAAGACAGGATGACTTTCATTGATCCATGCAGAACTAGCTATGAAACAAATCGCATCTTTCTTAACTTGTTATCTAGCCCAAAATTTCAGCCACTGTTAATGAATTATACATATCGAACTGAACTGACTTATGCACATTTAGACGTTAAGCGTCGACAGGGAAATTAAAGAACATCTTACAACTAAAGATTACCTAATAGCGAGCAAACAAAATGCGGTTTTTAGTATGACGCGCGCAACATTAATAAATTCTATAACCAAACAGAATAAGATAAAGCTGGAACAGGCTAGCTGGCCGGCACCTGCCTCAAAGTTTTACTATATTCTCAAACTTTTCTTTTTGTCAGCCAATATTAACGGGATTATACCCCGATTTAATTGTTATTCTTTTACTTACGAAAAGTACTCTAAATAAGTGACTATACATATCTTTGCGTTTGCGGAATATGAATGGCGTGATATGCAAAGCTTCTCTCTGGTCCTCTCTTGAATCCGTTTTTACTGCTGATTCTTTGTTAGAGAAAATCTTTAGTACTGAAGGTGCTCTAGAACATAATAGGGCCATTTATACGAGGAAAAATAAGACGCGTCTTAAATAAGACGCGAACTGTACCATTTATACGAGCATGTCTTATCTAATAAGACGCGTCTTAGCTAAGCCGCGTCTTATTTTAGACGAAATGTGCCGTTTATACGGAAAGTTCGCGTCTTATTTTTCCTCGTATAAATGGCGCGCGCGTAAAATAACATTACTCGCCCTTTTTTATCGCCTAACCGTCAACAGTTGACATTTTTCAGTATTTTATGTTCAGTGCATTTTTCGTAAAGAATAATGTAATGACCGCATTATATTTACAACTACGGTGTTTTTAAGTATCATGGAGTTTAATTTGCCTCCACTTTGATGAAGTCGAGAATAAATCATGCAAACCTAATTTTGTTTTTTTACTGAGCATTCGTTGTAACATTCTTTCCGACCATAGTCCGCTACAATTAAGAGAAAATTTTCCTTCTGCATTAAGTGTCAGGGTCTTTTAAATCCCCGAAAACTCATTATTTCCGGGTGCCAAAAAAAAAATCAACTTTCATGATCTTTATTGTTCGACTTTGTTGAAATTTTAAGGTAAACACACATTGAAATCGAGAGTATTAGACTCATATATATGTCGTGAGAATGTTTTTTATTGACTTTAATTTATTCCCAATAAAGTAAACCTAAAATAAAACTAGCTGCCGTAACTAATGAATTTGAAACTTAAACTGTACTGTTTACCTCATGGTCGGCCTTATTTTCATTTAATGATATCATGTTTTTTTCGTCATCAGGATTTACCACAGAAAGAAAAACACGCATGAAAAATATATGTTGTGGCTGCCAGGACCAAATTAAAATCAAGCATGTGGATTTGTTGAATCGAAGTTGTTTGGCGGATTACGTGCTTTGTTGTGCAGGCAGCAATAAGTGAAAAAAAAAGGATATTTTGAGATATTGGTGGATGTTTTTGACTAGTACACGCTCTTCGTAAATTCAACTTAGCCATGGAACGCAACAGCACAACTTATTTTGCCAACAGCGAGGACAGAGCGTCACAAAGTTCAACATATTTCGTCGTTGTATTAATTTTCACAAGCGTAGTTAATATCACTTCAAATGTGTTGGTGCTGGTCATTTTAGCGCGAAACAACCGCCTTCGCACATTTACGAACTGTTTCATCGCCAACTTATGTGTTGTGGACTTAATCGCTGGAATCGTTGTAGTTCCCGCTACCATTGATTCACTTCTGACAAAAACTGAACCACGCAGCAACGGAAGTTTACTATGCCGATTCTATGGCTTTTTGAACTCGCTTTATGGCATCGCATCTTCATTGACAGTAGCTGTAATCGCTTTAGATAGATATCACAGTATTTTGAACTGTCTTCGTTATGAAGTAATCGTAACACAACGAAGAACGGTTTTCGTTGTCGCGTGGACATGGTTACAAGCATTTTTCGTCTCTTCGTGCCCGCTCCTAGGCTGGGGGCATTTTTTGTTAAACCCCTACCAACGCTGTTCTGTATATTTCCCGGATCTAACTGGCTTTATATTCTTCAAGACTATCAGCTGTGTATTACTACCATATTTTATCACCGTTTTCTGCTACAGTAGAATACATTTAGTTGCAAGAAGACACGCCAAAACAATTGTAAACATCCAAGTTCGCGACGCAAAAAACCGCATTAAGGGAACGTGCCTTTCAGGGGCTTCGAAAAAAACGTTAATGGTATATATCGTGTTGGGAGTGTACACGACTTGTTGGTTACCCTTTTACGGTATAGACCTTCTTATGACTATTTATCCAAGAACAAAAATTCCAGAAACGGTTATTTTAACTACGACTGTATTAACCCTGGTGAATTCAGCTTGCAATCCAATAATGTATGCATTGATCACCAGCCAATTTAGGGGCGGACTAAAACGAGTTTATCGCCAGATTCGTCGGAGTATTTTCGCGGGAGACTCGAGGCAAATAAACCTGAACGGGCCGCGAGGAGATTCGCGCAGTTCATGGACATTTACAAGATCGAGCGCTAAGCGAATATTTGCTGCTCAAGAAACTGCAGTGCGGCCGAGACTTGCTTGTGCGGTGATAAGGGAAGAAAGTTCTATGAATGCGAAAATGCCAGATAAAACTAGTCGAATTGTGGATTCCCCGGCGACAATCTATCCTTTGACATTACAAGTTCCGGAGGAGACAGGGCATAAAAGTTTTAAAATTATTAAAAACGGGTGGACAGGGGACGGTACACAATTAGCTTAGAAGCCGAAAAAGTTGAGTATTTTCCTTTTTTCTACCGGACATTATTTTACAGCTGTTGAATCAAATATGTTTATTTATACAATGACTACCGAAATAATTGTCTTCGAACGCCGTGTTTGTCTGAAATGACATTACATTAAATCTAAATATTTCTTACCGATTGATTACGCTCTATATACGACCCCATTTCAATCCAGGATGAGGAGCTATTGGCCGAGAAAACGCTTTTATTTTTGGTAGCAAATATTTTTTCTTAACCATACAATAATTGTAATTTGTAAATTTTCAACTAAGACACTCCAACAAGACGAGTATATATTTACTTTTTAGCAAATTTAATAAATAACCCAACCGCATTCGACAGCACAGTAGACTAGGGTAGATCTGAATCCGACCATTAAGTCGGCGTCTATATAAAGAAAAACTTAAAGATCGAAACGGCTAATCCGTGAAATTTCTAGAATAAAGTTTTATTGCATAGCAAAAAGCTTCCAGTCTTACACTACAAACGGGCCGTATTATCTTTTGTATCTGAAGTTCATTCATTTGTCTGCAATGATCTTGATAAGCGTTGTCTTTTCAAGAGAAAATAACCAAAATTCGTTGAGGTTTTAGGTCTCTCCCCCAATAAGATAAATTTTCATGTTATCAAACCCAGATCATTTCAAGATTACCAAAACATCTACCGCATGACGTAGACTGCTCGTTATTCAAAAAATTCTCTTAAAATCCGCAGCTCTCCTCGGAAACATGTGAAGGGCGCCGTGGCAAGTCGGAAGGCGGAAGGAGCCTTTAAAGGTCTGAAAGGTGCCCGCTTTACTGAAATATTGCATTAAAACTGACAGATAAAAATCGAGAAACTTATATCCACTTAATCTTGTACGAGGGCTTGTTTGGATTATCTGTCAACTTTCACTCAACTAAGTATTTTAATAAAATGTTAAAAAGTGCCAAAAAAGGGTATTCTCCAGTGCCAGCTGTTGTTATTATTTTTGCCATCCTCATCATAAACTAATCCCTGTTGTCACCATCGTCATCATCAAAGCCTTTTGACCTTCGTTTTCGTCATCACTAACATTAGGGATGAACCATCAGAAAAGTGAAGGGGGGTGGGGGTGGGGAAATCGAAAGTTAGTAACCGGGGGCAGGGGCGGATCCAGGAATTTTTTTAGGAGGGGGTGCACTGGTCTTTTGCTCTACTTCAACACCAATAAACCACATAGTTTTTTTTTTTTTCAGAATACCAGTTGTATTAGAAAACCGCAGGTCATCTCCGGGGGGGGGGGATGCGCACCCCCTGCACCCTCCCTCTAGATCCGCCCCTGGGGGGGGACTACAGTCGAACCTCTACTAATGGCCACCTCTCCACAATGGCCACTTTTTTTGGCAGACAGTCCATACATTGACTAGCCTGCGTAGCAAGCGTTTCCAATCGAGTTATTGGGCGAAAGTTAAAGCGGAAGGAAAAAAAAGGTTGTTCCTCTCCCCCTCCCCCGTCATTCATGTTTTTTTTGCTCTTGTCCCAGCTTTCTAGACGAACCTCGCTAGGATAAAGGTTGGGCGGTGAAACGAGCGCGTCCGAGCAAAAAGGTGTGATGCAGTGGACTGGGACTCTGCTTAGAAATGTCGCTTGTTTTGGACTTCGGTCAGGGCTTGCGATGTGGTTTGTACATTAGACACTGCCGCTGTCACTGAATTTAGCGGCTTGATTTGTTTTCTTGCACTTCTTCCTCGTTCCTTTGTGCTGGTACGCTGTCTCCGAGAGGCAAATGTTGCT